AATTTGGATGGGTATTTATAAGGTTTTAGACACCCTAATTGAAATAAAAGTAGGATTTGAAATAAAATAAGAAACTTGAATGTTCGACGTTGAATGTATAATACTGACACTCTGAATTACGTATCGACACAAAACAAGAAACATAAAGTTTGATTCTGGACTATTAACCCATAGTGTTGACACCCATATTATGTGTTTAAAAATAAACCCAGCAAAATGAAGACGACAACCTAGACAACAACCCAGCAAAATGAAGACGACAACCTTGGCAAGTGCACGCTACTCAAGAAGGTAGGGTTTTACGAATAAAGTTGCAACTCAAGGTAGAATTGTAGGAGAATTTGTAATTTAGAATTAAAATTTAGGTATATAATTAAAAAAAAGCAAAAATAAATTAGGAAATATAAGATAGTTATTTTTATTTTTAATTAAATCAACAGAGTCATTATCTTGTAAAATAAGAAAAAAAATTTGAAATATTATAAAAATATTATATTATTTAATGAAGTTATTTTATAATCGGATTTTTTTTTATAATCGAGCGGTTTAGACAGTTTGAAAGTAAAACTACAAACCAAACCAATTATATCAGTTTTAAATTTTTATAATCCAAACCAACCCAATTTTATATCGGTTTGATTTGATTTTTAATCGGATTGGATCAGTTTATATCGAATCAATCGGATTGGATCGGACATGAACACCTCTAATGAATATCATGAAAGTTGACACGGTTGACTCAATGAACATCTGCAAGTGTGGAAAGTAAGGTAAGATGTGAAATGCCCATTGTGACACTCTCCAGGTCCCTTTGACTCCCATCTTACCACCATCTTTGCCGATTATCATTCTCATCATCATCACCAATCGCCAATCACCAAACAGCCACAATAAATAAACGGAGGGCTTCTTTTCGGGAACCGGTTCTGCTCCTTCTCTCGGATCCCATTCTTTGCTCATCCGTTCCTCATGCTCTGTTAGCCCGTTCTTGAACTGATGGCCTGACATCCAGTAAAGAAGAGGAAGCTTCGCAGAAGGAGGGCTTGAAGGAAGACTAAAAAAAGGGAAAAGAGCAGCCACAAAAGAAAAGAAGGGAAGATATGGTTTTCTTTTTCTGGGCTCTACCGATTTGGTGGTCTGGATAGCTGTTCGGACTCTTCCCGGGGGAATCTTCTGGGTGATCGGTATTTTTGCCGGAGTTTTGCCTCGGCGAAGAAGGGCAGCTCAGGTGTGAAAACCGGAGGGAAACGGAATCTGTTGGTGGCTTCCGATTGCTCTTGCTTTAGGTAATTTTCTGAAATAGGGGTTTTGGGAGAAAGTAGTGAGTGTGATAATACATAATAGTGAGGGTGATGAAATGAGATCCCTCCTTCCTAATTTACCCTTTTTTCTTGAAATTTCCGCTTAGGTTTTCCTTTTTCTCTTCTATTTTGATGATTTGTGTTTGAATTTGTTTGGGATTGTTGAGAGATAAATGATATTCAGTAAATTGTTAGATTTGTTACCTATTATGTCATAATTGTTTGTTGGATTTGAAATTGGAAGCAGTTGCCTGTGTCGAATGAACCCTATTTTCTATATTGATCAAGCCAATAGTGATTTGATGGACTAGTGTTGACTTTGTTTTGAATGGTGGCTTTATTTTGTGTCTGATTATGAGCACTAAAAGGAGTCTACCGTAAAACTTTGTATAATTGCTCAGTGTTTTTGTTTTCTTCCCATACTTCAGTTGATATTAGGTGGTTTAGGATTAGGAAAGACTGATATCTAAACTCTCAATCATGCAGACACGAAGTTGAGTGGAAAAGGAGAAACTCTCCCCTCTTATTTTCCTTAGTTTTCAATCTATTTGATCTTTATCTCCATAGGCGAATTATCATGATAAATATTATTTTGTGGAGAATGGTAGAAACCAATTAAGTCAGGTTTGATCTAATTATTTTTTCTTGCATTTTAGAGGAGGAGTACAGTCTAATTGCAACCATTGTTTGTTGTAAATTTGTTCACTAGTCGAGTTCGATCTAACTGTTTTTATCTTCTCAACTATTAACTTATTTGTGTCAATGTAGTTCCTGCTCCAACATGGAACATGGGGATGTGGTTCAAGATTTGCGGTAATCCTCTCTGTATGATTTCTTGTGTCTTTTTCTGTTTGGAGTCTTAGAGGTTTATTCAGAGCTTCTAAATTTGTACAGCTGTAATATAAAAAATGAATTCTGTGTCATTTTTTAGACTGAATTTTTGTTTGTGTTAATGCCAGTATTGAGCCTACCTATTTTATTGAGAACCGTATGATACCATGTACTGTTCTTGATGAGAAGTTGAGTTGTCAAGTTACCAATTTGAAGGTTGAGGATGGGGTCACTCCTTCAGTAGAAGAGAGACTGTCATCTTCGATGGGAGAATTTGTGCTTTCATGGAAATACTTCAATAAGGACAAATCTGTATTGACTGTCCAACCTATTCTTTTCACGCTTGAGACATGGTATGATCATTTACTGGAAACGGTTCCAATTGGAAAACGCCAATATTCTGGGATCTCTATTCAGAAGTTTTATTTGTATCCTCTTCTGAGGTTCGTATCCTCTTCTGAGGTTTGAAAGGTTTTTTATATCAGATAATTAGTTTTTTTTTTTTTTTTTTGTTACTTAAACAGTAATTGAATGTAGGTTATGCACAAAATGGCTGAAGTGTGCCTTTGAACATCAAATGTGTCATGGAAATCTTATAGATTGTATCTTTTTCAAAACTGCTACTGAGCCACGACTTTTGATTCAAAGAGGTAAATTCATTATTAGTTCTTTTTGTAGATTTACTAGGTTTTTTTGGAGATATACACTGATTTGGATAAATTTATGTAGGCGACGGTTCATATAGAACAGATTTAAAAACTATCAGGCACTTTTTGTTTGTGATTGTTAACTGGAGGCCACGAGAGGAATTAAAGACGGAGGATGACAAATTCAATTACAATGAATTCAACAACAATGTGCCACGTTATTTGATTGATTTTCTTCAGCTGTTGGGTGCTTTTGATGAGCTAACGTACCATCTAGATTCTTTTTTGTCTGATTTCATTACTTTTTATGTGATTATTTTGCTGAGTTTTTTTGTTTGCAGGCACAGTGTGGATGTTGTTTTTAACCCATCTTTTTTGTGGAGCATTGAGAAGAAGTTCAAGCATCTAGAGGAAGCATTTGTCTATTTCATTAAAGAACCAAGACTCGATGAAATAAATAGGCATTGTTGCTGGCAATGGTATAATGATTTTTTAAGACTTCCTGCGCGTCATGTTTTGAGGGATATATATATGCTGGCAGGCGAACCAAGAATTGTGCAGTTACGCCCAGGAGTAGCCAGGAATGGGAATCCATACTACACAAACAATGCACAGTTGTTGCGTCTATTTCGCAATACCAGGTGTCATGTTACTGAAATGGTAAGAGTTGATTTCTCAATACTGCGTTTTATTGCCATGAAATGCAGACCTGTATGTTTTTTTATTTCGCTCTCTAATTGTTCTTTATTTGCTACTTAAATTTTTTGTAGCTTGGTGGACGTGGATGGACTCAGGATGTTGTTTTGGAGGAATTTGAGGAGAGATTCAATATTCTCTCTCGACTCTCCCAAACATGTAATGCATATGCAATGGATCGGCACCAAACATCGCGCAAATGGTTCCTTAGAAGGTTGGGATATATTGCTAGCGAGAAACCATAAGATATTATCAGGTAATTGGAAGTTCTGAATCCATCCTCTAGAACAAGTGTTAGATTTTTCCTCTCGTTACTTTTCTAATTGATGTTGGGTTTTGGTTTCAGGCACGCTATTGATTTTTCTGTGGTTTTTCATTCCAGAGGATCTCTGTTGGCAGATTGAGGGTAATGATTTTACAATATCTAGTAAAAATGTAACATATTATTTAGTTGCTTTACCCGTCTGACCTTTTTGCTTCATCCTGTAGTGTAATTGTGCGTGTAACTTCTCCCTTACGAAATGAGCTTTATAGTAGGATCTTGATCTTACGTAGGCAATGAATGTCTTGAGTTTTCTAACAGCTGAAGGTCTGTATCTGAAAGTTGAATGACATTGATTCTTTCGAACCTATATATATGCCATCTAATTCCTTCTCAAGTAAGGTCCAAAAGGGATCACCAGCAGGTCTATCCAATTTGCCTAGCACCATGATTCCCCTAGTAGCCAGCACAAGTCTTTAACTCAGAACAATGCATTCTCTCTGGATTTGGAAGGGGATGGAACGCTGCTAAGTATTGGACTTCAGTTCAGCAATCTATGGTACGTCAACTCGTTCAGTAAAGGCTTTTTAAAGTTTCATTCAGCAAACAATCAAAGAAACTGAAAATCATGATTACATGATAAATTCAAGTTGTGCAAGTTCAACATGCTCAAGAACACGTTGAAAACCATGTATTATTTCCATTCCCAGTAAAGAATGTGAGAGATGCATTCATCAGCGTAGAGATCATAAATACCAAAGAAATCTGAGTTCACAGTCAAAGAGTGTTCAAAATAAAAAGAAAAATTTTCTCCAATGGAGGTAATGAAGTAGCAAAAAGTAGCACATCATTATTGAACAGCCAGCTCAGTTCACGTGGCATTTCACCCAAAGGGCCAAAGACAACACGATGAATCAGCATAGAGCAAAAGCAGACTTGCATGCAGCATAAAATTATGAGCCAAGTTGAAAAATATAGCCCAATAAATTAATGAGAAACTAGAGATTTCAAAAAGAATTATAGAAGCAGTACAGCAAGTTATGCACATAAAAGATATGGATGATAAGAAAGAGACGTTCGATCAAGAAGACCCGCAAAGGGTTTATCTTCCCCAACAAACGACCCATCAAGTAACCTGTCAGATGAAGTGTTTTCAGCTATCCCCAGAATACGCGGATCTCATTGTCCCTGGTTTTGTTATTAACATGAGTATGATATGCTTTGCCACCACGTTCAGAAGCATTTAAGGGTACAGCATTCTTACATGATGCTCCTCAGATGTCTGAGACTCTCAGTTATTACTGTTATTCACTGCAATCTATTCCAGAAACCTTGCTGCCAGAATGTCCCCTTCGAGCTTGGAAGTGCGATACAAATGACTGGAACAGACACCATAGAGGTACTCTCCAACGCCTTTGTCAATGGTCGATGACAATTTTTCCTCTTCAAATATTCATCAGCATTTGCCACTCAAGATCTCTCTCTTTTTCAATGATGAGGAGCAACCCCTGCTACAATTCATGGCATTTACATTAGGCATGCAGTTGCCCGTGTTTGAATCATACGTTGAAGCATTAACTCGTTGAACATGCTCCAGCACTGCCTCAGCCTGGACCTTTGTTTTTGACACCACACCCATGCCCAGCTCCTCGTGTCCTCTCATTCGCTTGGTTCCTCCAGTTCCATCATCCTCTGAGTCATTCAGGGTTCTTCTCCTCTTTCCCTGTACAACTTGCGTCCTTGAAGCATCTAAGTGATTAAGCTCTTCAAAAGATGCACTAGATAGTGCTAAAACCAGGGGCAGAATCTGAATCATTTTAGATTCACTCCCTTTGTCACTCATATCCTCTTTTTCTTTTCCAGAATGTGACATGCTAGGTGATTCTCGGGCAGAACCATTATCCTCACCACTCAAAGTGTCTCTTTTACAGAAATAATCTGGATGATCCTTCTTCCCTAGCCATGCACTCTCACTCTCAAAAGCATGAAGAATCACATCTTCCCTTTGAACATTTTTCATTGCTTTCTTATTAGAACTTGCTGTGAAGGCCTTTGCTTTCTCAATACATTAATCATACTCCCCAAAATTAAATGCCTTCACCCTCTTAGACTTTTCAAGATTATATCAGTCTCTAATGCAGAAAGAAATAAGAATCAGCCAACAGAGTCGGATAATAAAAATCACATATCTAAATGGTCTTTTTTCAATATATATCTAAATATCAATTGAGAAAAGAAAAAAAAAAAAAAAAGAAGACCACCTAATCATCAATTAACATGCTAAAAAGTTTAATGAAGCTCTAGATTTACCAATTCTTTTGAAAATTTACTGGATTCATCAACAACAAGAGAAGGTCAAACTCTCATCCTCAAGCATTCTTTCCAGAAAGTATGAGAAGAACCAACTAATAAACTAATAACTACAAGTAAAACCGTCAAAAAAAGGTTCCATATACAGAAGTTAAGGGAAAATAAACTCGCAAGATTTTAAACAAAACAAAACTCAGATGCTTGCATCCTCGCAGCCTAGAAGCTTAACGGGTGTAGCGGATCTCAGAGAAACCAAGCAACCCTCAGAGAGCTCATCAAGGCCACAATCCGACCCAGCCACCATGAAAGCGGGAGACATAAACCAACCCACCGACAGACGCATCAATGCCCTTACTCTTTGGCTCA